AATCTGTTTCTTTCTACAGATATTCCTACAAACAGTAGCTCACTTCTGTGACCTCTTGTAAATTAAACTGCATTACATCAGACAGGGAGACTGACTGGTAAAAAAATTAATAATACCTTTTTCCAGTCCCTTTGTTACTCAGCTTTGTTGGCACAAATGTGGAAAACACAGACTTTGTGACTCTGCAGTGCTTTCCCTTAGTATGGCCAGTCTTCAAGGCAGGGAGAAGCAGGATGAAAAGGAGAACCTGCTCATCCCTCCAAGTCCTTGCATCTTTGACAACTGATAATGTGAGCACGAAGGCTCAGCACAGAATGCAGAAATAAGGAGCAAGACTCCCTCAAACCGACCTCCTTAGGTACCTATTGGTGACGAGGAGAAAACTGCACTTTCACAACAACCTGGCAGGTCCCGTGGAGCCACACACCAGGAGTCCGACGCATGGCAAACGGCCATGTAGTGAAAGCACCAAGGTGTTTTGCATAGGTGTGGTTACAACAAAATTGTCTATCCACTGGCTTCTCCCATCATGGCTTTGACAAACACGTATCTCGTGACTTCTATTCCCTGCCGGATGGAAGCCAACGAGAACAAGCAATTTTAGACTGAGTTTACTGAAAGATTGGACCATACTGTCATCTAGTGGACAATGCACTTATTTTACTAGGTTTTTTTTTTTTTAATACTGGGCCCGATTCTTCAGCCTAAACCTGACAAACCCTCTTGCTGAATTCAGTGGCATGTTGCACATTGGTGCACTCAACTAGAGCTTCCAATTCCAGAATGTCTGTTTCTGCTGGCATGAATTTTATGAAACAGTTTGAACGATAGCTCCAATCTACTGAAAAGGAATATGAAATTCCATATTAAGCATGAAGTTTAATTACTATGCAGTTGCTTTTGTGGGATTTGCGGTTTTTCTTCCCCCTCTTGTTGAGTAGTTATCATAATTTGTTGTCCATTGTTATCTTTAAAGTGTACTATTACCATATGCTGGAACTGAAACCAAATCTCAAGCCCCTTAACAATCACATGTCTGATTTGGTGATGTACAGAGAAACACCTATTTACACTGGAGCTCTTGGAAATTTACAAGTACACAAACTTTTGTAAATTTACCTTACATGCTACTATTTAGGAAAATTGTTCTCTAAAAGTGACAACATCTAAAAACTGAAATGTTAAAGCAAGCAACACTGGTTTTAAAACTGTTGTGAAAATTTGCTCAAGGGGGTATGAATGCCTTCAATTTATGTTTTATATTTTTCACTTCAGACCTACAATATACTTCATAAGCCTGAGAATTTGTATACAGCTGGCATCTTATTCTGTATTAGCATCTAGTTACATAAATGTGTGTTTATCAGCAAAATATGGTCGCATGCATAAATATACTCTAATATTAATATTAAATGAATATTGTGATAAAATATGCAAAAATACATTAATATTAATGTTATAAATGACTGTGTTATGAGAATTCTTTTTTCTGTTGTTGTTTTCTAGTAACACAATAGAAGGAATTTTGAGGGAGAAAACACCTATATTCATATAGAAGTGGAAAAAACAACACACCTTTCTAAAAATACTTTGTCCCAGGGTAAGTTAATTGCTTTTTTTAATGGAATTTCAACTAGTGGATGAAGTCGATTCATTCGAGCTGAAGCCTAAACCACCCTGAGAAGTAATAAGCCACACCTTCTCGACCCGGGAAGGAATAACCCACACCTTCATTTGCTAACTGTTGATGTCCAGTGCATACTAATCTGAGCCTGGGCCTTGAGTAGGTATAAAAGAGTCAACTAATAGTAGTTATCATTTGCATTTCTAGACTTTCTGGGTTGCAGCATTTGAAAATATCTTTCTTTACCATATGGCTCTCTGAGTCAGAAAACTGTACTAGTTATTATATAAAGTCTCAGAACTCTACAGTATTTCAGTCCTCAAACAAAATAAAGACACAGCCGCAACTCTTCTTCCAGCGTCTGTCAGGTACTTTCATCTGCATTTCACACATTGAACATCACAAACTGCTTAAACCCATCAGCCTTCCTGGATGGAGAACTCAAAAGTGCCATTTACTTAAATTCATGAAGAGTGTAGCATGTTCTCCACCCCCATCCTACTTACGTCGTGCCTGAAACTATACCCGCAACCCCCGGTGAGATCCTTCACCTGCCCAGAGAGTGTTGCACAGCACGGAACGCTGAAGCTCTTTTCTGTTCTCGGAGAACAACAGCAGCAATCTGCTGTCTATTCTACTCCATCTGCTTTTTATTAGGGCTCTGATTTGACATCGAGTTCATAGTCACTGGCTTACCAAACTACTTGCTCTATTTAAAAATAACTGAACTAATAAATTTGAGGGTTGCATGGAAATATAACCCTGGACTCCAGAAAGCATCTTAACAGCAAAAAAACCATGCTCAGCACACCACCTGCAACTCCAGGACACCCTCTGGCATCACCTCAGCAAGTTTCATGTCCCACACTCCTCATGGGGAACTCTCAGTGTGGTACAACACGCAGGAAGGCAGCAGCAGAGATGGAGGCAACAAGGGGACAACTAGTGTTATCAGGAGGGTTTGGCTGGATGTGGAGTGGGTATTTGGGATATGGATGCCTCTGTACTTCCGTATCTCTGACTAGGGAAGTTCAGGCTGAGGAGGAGTTTGGGAGGAGAGTTGAAGGCACACATAAATTGGTCTTAAAAATTGGGGTTTTGCTTTTTAATTGTTGATCATTATTACAAGCTAAATTTTCTCTTCTATGCAGATATACTAATAACATATTTCAAACCAGCCACAATTTGACAGAGTAAATACTTCACAGCTGCATACTTCCAAGCCACAAGAAGCCTGCTGTTAGGGAAAATTGAAGGCAAGAAAACAAAGAGGAGCCTGCTTACCATCCCTTTTGGACAGAGGCATCCAGATATGCAGCCATGGCTGATGCACTCCAAGTCATAATTCTGGCAAGTCTTGGCACACTCCAACCCTTCAGCTCTTGGGTTGTTTGCAGGACAGACAAATCTTTCCATGGGGGATCTGCATGACAAGCTCCTTTTTACTTTAAAAAAATAAAATCACAAAAATTGCAATTAGAACCCAAGCATTGTTATCACAGTATTTTTCTAAAGGATGGATCAACGTTCTTATTAGAACATTAATTTGGGATACAGAATGGAGCAATGCCACTACACCACTATGCATGACATCATAAAGGTAACAGTCCCCACTTCCCATGGAATGACATCAGTTAGGCTATCATAAAAAAAATTTATTCCAATATGGAAGCAAAATGAGCTGCACACGGTTTCAATTTCAGATGCCACTCAAGCTATGAGCACACTTTAATGTGAAAGATATTTCAACCTATAGGCAATGTACACAAGCAATGTCAGCACACAATCAATGTCCTGAGAAGCAAGAGCACCAGATATTTTTGTGTTTAGAGTCACTTCCCACAAAGAGTATAAGTACACGGGTGACTGTTAATAACAATGCCCTTAGCTTAAACACAAAGTTTTCAAACTCTCTGAGAACTCAGGTTCTGATATAAGATCAGAATTTCCCAAGAAACTCCAGGTTATTATTTCAAGTAATGATAAATATGCTTCTATGATGTTTCATAAAGCACTAGTATCAGGAAAAATATGTCTTAACAACATTGCAGCAAGAGTTTGGTGAGATATACACCTAGAAGGCTTCACCTGAAGGATAGTGGGGGTCAGCCAGACCACTCTCCCATCACAATCCCATAAGCTCCATCCATATATCAGTGAGGAGCCACCAAAAATCCCAGACCACTGATGTCCTATTTTCCAGGGTAGTGCCTAGGCAGTTGTCAGTCTCCAGGAGCTTTTATGGCAATATGACTGATGGCTGGAGGGCACACTCAGTGCCTGGTAGCACTCTAACTTCAAGCCACAAAAAGCATCCTCTGCACCAGAAATAAGTGCAGAACCTGCTAGTCAGAAGCAGACGCACAAAGCTGGCTAGTTACTGATGTCGTGTGATCTTCAAATACCAACTGGCGGCTTCAGATGAGAGCCACAGGACCCCTTAACCTCTTGAACTAAAGAAACGCTGCAGTGTCTAACTATAATTTTGACAGGTGGGACACAATGAGCCCTGCACCCTCCCACACAAACATTTTGTTTCTATCCTGTAAAAAAAAAAAAAAGAAAAAGGTTAGAAAAAGACTCATAACATCACCAGCCACTGCAACCGCTGGCATTTCTTCCCTATTCTAGTTTAGCAAGAGACTGAAGAGGAAAAGAAATCAGAAAAAATATTAATTCTTTTAAGGCATACTAACTTCTGGCAGATGACCTCTCATCAGCGAAAACATCTGGCAGGAAGGCACCAGGAACTCTGTTCGTACTGCAGTGCATGAAACCATTTTCACAATAGCTGAGAAAAACAAATAGAGCTTATATTTAACAAAGTGACATTTAGTTTTGACTTACACGGTTGTTTTCAGACAGTCCTGCAGGGAAGTTGTCAGAGTACAAAATTACACCTCTCATTGGGGCTGATCTGTGCTTTTCCATCCACTCTGCTTTTTAACCTTAAAGGTAAACCTTCCTCAAGATAGCTGCAATGATCTGCTAGCGTGGCAACCCAGCTGTATGCCAGCCCTGTCCCACGGAATCCAATGTGTCTCCACGGGGATACAGCTGGGCAAAATAATAGTCAGGTCTGTTGTGGGGAGAGGACAGGGACCATTTAGTGTCTGCAACTCAGGACTTCTGTGGCAGAGAAAAGGACGGGACACTGTTCCCAAAACTGGGCTTGCCAGAAGCCATCCAGCCATTACGTTCCTACTCTCAGTGTACTGCTTCTCAGCTTAACAATTAGAAACACTAATATTTGTGTCTTTGATAGAGGTAATTAGGTTTTAACATTTAAGAAATGTATCTCAGTACATTAAAGTGACACTTTAAAAGCTTACAAAGTTGCTATCATCATCAATTAAACTCCATTTCAAACTGGCAGGACCTGTTCATGGAACAGGGCTTAGTACTGTTTTCTAAGGCGGTATTTGAAATTATAGGGATAGAGAAACAACAGCAAAACTAGCCATTTCATTTGTCGGGGACAAAATCTTCCCCTCTTTTAAACTAGTTTCAGTGAAAGTGAAGTAACTGAGGAACTGAAACAGTTAACCACTCTGGCTATCCAGAAAGTGGAGTGACAGCGCGTAGGGATGAGTTATGAACATCGCGCTTACCACATGGTGTAATGATCCGAAAAGACGTCCTCTGGCTGGAAGATCTCACCATCATAGTAACAAGAGCATAGGGCCTTGGGCACACACTGCTCACGCTCGTCCAGGTAGTGCCCAGGGGGACAGTAGCATCCTTCCACACAGAGTTCATCACAGTCCTCATCCGGGTAGGACAGAGATCGGCAGGTCTGGTTGCACGATGTGCCACACTGCTGGTACACTTGGCCCTCAGGACAGGTCATTGCTGTTGAATGACACGCACGTCAGGGAGACTGGCATTTGATCCAAAGTCAACTAAAGGAAAAGCTGACTAAAGCAGACTGGGAAACTGGAGATGAAAATGTATTTACTCCATTCATCAATCAAGGCCTGTATTAACTGTCTCTCCTTAATTGTATAACACTAGTGAAGCCTTACTACATGCAGTTCCCAATATGGGTCAGGACTGGATTGCAACCCTGGCAATGGAAATCCATCCACAAAATTTCATCCAGAATGAAAAACAGGGATTCTGTCCAACCTGTCTTATTACTAGGATCTGCAAGTTAGGAGCATTACAAGTGTCAGGTACATAGGCACACTTCTCCTTTGCAACACGGTTAGGGACAATTTGGTGAAAATGAGTAGAAATGTAGGTTTCTGCCTTGATAAGCAGGAGCTGCAATAGTTTAAACCCTCACATCTCAGCAGCTCTCTGTGATTTCTGTGGAAACAGGTGCAAATAAAAAGTAATTTAGTGATTGTGAAGCCAAACCTTGCATAATAACGATTTTTGATGATGAATTCATTTTTATGGAGACCTAATTATGGCCTTTGGAACCATTTTTGCTTCATTGTTTATACAACTCCCACTTAGTTCTACGGTGGGTATGCAACCTCCTTCGCATACATCAACATTGGCACTAGATGGCAGCTATGACAACACATTTCAGAGGAGAAGACAACCAGACAGTATTATCGAGGGCTTATAGCAGGCTTTCTGATAACCAGGATTGACAAACCCTGCCGTTTGTAGCAACATTCCAAAGCAAACGGCCAGAGCTGTAAGGTGATTAGGTAGGATGTTCAGTGGAGTGAGGGAAGCAGCTGCAAATAAAAGTTGGCACATTTGTACTGTGCTAAAACAAAGATCAGGGGGTTACAAAGAAAGCTCTTCCTCTTGTTATTCCTGCAGATTGATCTGATAATCCCTACCATGTTTAACATACCTTTGACAACACAACCCAAGAAATTTATGTGTGTTCATCAACATGGTAGGCAAATACATCCTAACTCAGAAATAAATGATGATAGATTCACTCAGGTTTATAGAAGTCTTTCACAGCTATTCACAGAACAGTGCTTCTAATTTACATAAACATGCTACCTGCATTAAATCAAGTACTGAACAGGCACAGCCCAGGGATGAGGACCATTTTAAAAGTAACTTTCATCACTAAAGGCATGTGCATGCAAGACAAACGTGAAGCCTCAGCCAAAACTACGAATTGCTATACAGGATCCTCTGGAAACAAGGAACTGGTTTGGCAGATTTCAGGCAGGGACAACAGTTTACTAGAGTTTCAAGATTCAAAAAAGATAGGATAGCTGAGCCCAACACCCTACCCTACTTTCTAGTCAGTGGTAACACTCCCTGCCCACAGGGACTTTGCAATGGTTCCCTTTCTTAACAAAAGGTTTGTAACTCATCTTACCTGCCCATGCACTTCCTAAGATTTTAGAAACATTCCCCATCTTTCCAGTTATGCTACCCACTCCCACATTCACACTCGAAGTCTCAATGCACTGCTCCATCATCTCCCAGCAACATCTTTTTTTAAAAGCAGAAAGGCAAGACAACTGACCCATGAGAGGCCTGTTGTCTGTACACTCTGTAATACACTCACTAAAAAAAAAAAAAAAGTTGCAGTTATTGCCAGAAACGAAGTGCATCTAGTCTCTATGGATGCCCGTTACAAAACCAAAAGAGCTCAATGCTGTGCTGTGAAGCTCAGCCTGTCCTAGGGATAAAATGGGAAATAGTGAGAAAGCATTGGAAAAATGTGTATCCATCGGATAGTTCATCCGGCTTCTTGTGAGTGGGTTTTCAACACAGAGTGAAAAAGGCATAAATCCTGACCAGTTTCTTGGGCAGCATGAAGTGAAAACACAATCACACCTAGGTCCTAGGCTTTGGGTGAAGACACACCCTGTCAGCAGTAGAATTAAGACAGCTGCTCTACCACCACCAGCGGGCACGCTGAGCCCCACCATGTGATGTAGCCACCCTCCAATGCTGTTCAGAGTCTGCCCTTATTTCCCTACTCCACAAGCCAGCACGTTTGAGTTTATCCCATACAAATCCTCTCACAGAAGACATGCAAAGATCAGCACCACCACATGAAGGAAAATAGGAGGCTTGTCAACAGGTCCTAAAGGATAGTTTTGCATGAGTGTGGGAATGTGGAAACTGGGAAGAGGTAGCAGTCCTTCACAGCAGCTGTGCTAATTGGACTATTCCAAAAGTGGGGCTTGAAAAAAACCAGCAAAATACTTAAGCCTCCTCTTAGCCTCAAATTGTATGCAGGTATTCTTAAACTGGAAAAAAATCATAGAATCATTTAAGTTGTAAAAGCTACTTAATTCATCATGTCCAACCACTAACCTAACACTGCCAAGTCCACCACTAAACCATGTCCCTGACCTCAACATCTACATGTCTTTTAATTACCTCCAGGGATGGTGACTCGACCACTTCTCTGGGCAGCCTGTTCCAATGCTTGACAACTGTTTCGGTGAAGAAATGTTTCCAATCTGAACCTCCCGTGGTGCAACCTGAGGCCATTTCTCTTGTCCTGTCACTTGGGAGAAGAGCCCAACACCCACCTCTTTGCACCCTCCTTTCAGGTAGTTGTAGACAGCAATAAGGGCTCCCCTGGGCCTCCTCTTCTCCAGGCTGAACACCCCCAGCTCCCGCAGCCGCTCCTCACAGGAATTGTGCTCCAGACCCTTCCCCAGACCCGTTCCCTGCTCTGTACACCCTCCAGCCCCTCAGTGTCTTTCTTGTAGTGAGGGACCCAAAACTGACCCCAGGATTGCAGGTGTGGCCTCACCAGGGTCCAGCACAGGGAGACAAGCACCTCCTTAGTCCTGCTGGCCACACTGTCCCTGATGCAGGGCAGGATGTTATGACCTTCTTGGCCACCTGGGCACAGTTCTACTCAGTCAGCTGTAGACCAACACCCCCAGGACCTTTTCCACCAGGCAGCTTTCCATCCACTCATCCCCAGGTCTGTAGCATTGCAGGGGGTTGTTGTGGCCCAAGTGCAGGACCTGGCACTTGGCCTGGTTGAACCTCACAAAACTGGCCTCAGCGCATCGATCCAGCCGGTCCAGATTCCTCTGTAGAGCCTTCCTAGCCTCAGCTAGACTGACAATCCTGCCCAAGTTGGTTTCATCTGCAAACATACTGAACTTGATCCCCTCATCCAGATTACTGATAAAGATATTAAACAGAACTGGCCCCAGTACTTAGCCCTGAGGAACACCACTTGTGACCAGCTGCCATGGGGATTTAACTCCATTCACCACAACTCTTTGAGCCCCAATGTCCAGCCAGTTTTTTACATGCATGTGCACAAGAGACAGCCCTTCACAGTATAGCCTACGCTCCTTCTATCAGCGTGAAGCGACTGGCTGCATTCCTTATTCATGGTGGCCTTAAGGGCACAATTCAGCTCTTGCACAACAAAACTGCAACTAAAATAATTTCAAAGACACGGGAGATTAATGCGCTTGCTAACTTGACACACAGCTAATGCTGTGCTACACTAGTAAATTCCCTCCCTGCCACTTACCCACTTCACATCAGGTATACTGGTTCTGTCATTTCCCAAGGAGCTGAATCCCCGTTGACCAAAGCAGGAGCGGAGCATGTGTTCAGTGCACTGAGCCATCAGCACCAATTATGCAACCTGCACATTCACGTCTCAAGTCCATTAAAAGAGGGATTGTTCTCCTTCATGCGACAAGAGATGTCTGGGGCATCAGGATTATTTAATGGGGGCTGATGGATCTGCAGTCAGGGAAACCGTCACTTTATGAGAGCATAAAGCGCTCTGTAATGCACAGAAAGGAGGAAGCAGCTCTGCACTATTAAAGATTAATTGTGAAAATTGACTGGTTCAATTACAGAAAGAATGATGGTGCATTATCACGGCTCTTTCTTTCAGCCTCTAGACCTGCACATTTTTAAAAGGATTTTTATTACATTACTGTTCCACTATCTGAACATTTACATAAACTAGGTAAAATATTATGAAACCATGCAGCAGTTTAACATAAACTGGTTTTGTTCTCATTCACAGTAAATGCTCTGCAGCCTGCAGAAGCTGTAGTCACTGATCTTAGAGGTACAGACCCTACCAGGTGGAAGGCTGGTGACCTCTCTTTATCCCTCTATTCCAGTTTCTACACACTCAGTTTAGAAATGTTTTTCCCACTCACTATTTGCGAAGAAGTAGCAGAACCAATCTGAACAGCTGCCAAGCATAGACACTTTCCCCCAAAATTTTCAATTGTCTTCTTTCCTTAACAGCAAGTTTTTCAGGAAAATGGAAAACATGTCCATTTCACAAATATTGATGGGGAAAAGTGTGTCCACGTTCCATTAAAACCGCATTGCAATGGATTTTTTTTCTTACCACATTGGCCTAACAGAGAAAGAAAATAAATAAAAGGTGTTGGCTGCTTCTGCTCCAACTTCTTAGCACTTTGGCTATTAATCTTGCACTGGACTGACCTATGCAAAAAACATCCCATTCTTTCTGTTACCCCACCTCTGTAACCCAAACCTGGAGCCTGAATTTTTGTTCTATCCTCTTGCAACATCTCATCTTTCAGACTGCAAACTTTTGAGCCAGGGTTGCCATTTATTACAGGTGACATCCTGCAAACAATCCTCGGGGGAATTCAAAACTCAACTCTTGCTGACTCCCACAGGAGTCAAATGTCTACACAAAATGCCACAGACAAAGCTCTTGTTTGCCTAGCTCAGTGGTGCCACCCACAGTGTGTTGGTCAAGGTTCAAATCTCTTTTCTTGCACCAGCTGCCACACCATACTAGAATTTACCAGAAGAAGGAAAGGAGCTTGTATGTGATTAGCAAAATTACGTTCACCCACTAGGTGAATGGTGTACACAAAATGAGATCTGACATCGATCTCAAACCTCTGCACTGACAGAGTGGTAATCAAGCTGCTAAGAGAGAGAGATGCCAGAGAGACACTCAAAACTTGTCAAGACAAGACCCCAGGCAATCTGCTGTAAGTTAGCCCTGCTATGAGCAGGGGTTATACCAGAAGACTGCCAGAGGTCCCTCCTGACGTGTGTGTCTATACTTGTATGATTCTGTTCCATGATACCATTTGACTGAGTACCTGCCTTTGTGCTTCCCCCAGACCCTCAACTTCAGCTAAAGTCAAGAGTCACTGATGAGGTCAGGGACTGGGAAGCTTGGGCCTTGAATGAAGGAGATACCAAAAAACCAATTACTACAAATCACTTGGAGATTCCTACCCAAAAGATTCCAAGTAAGTAGCTAAAACTTAAGTACAGCTGAAAGTGGAAATCCAGTCAAAAGCTCTGCTATGTCACATGACTGCTTCTCTCCTCATGCTGAGCAGTCCCTGTGAACAGTTTTTTGCATCCTTGCTGGAGTGGAGGAAAGACAAACTCTCTCATTTGGTGTAAGAAATATTTGGCACCTTGCAGAAATCATCTCATTCTAGATTTCTCACCTGGCATTGCCCAGAAATTCTACTGAGACAAGGAAAATAAGCGGGTTTAGGAGCATTTCACTTACGGCAGAAGTCAGGTTCTCTCCACTGGATCAGGACATTCTTCCTAGCACAGGCTGCTGCATAATTAGCAATAGCAGAGCACAGACAATCCTTGCCATTGGAACAGGAGCAAACATCAAAGCGGCAGTTCTTCACATAGGGAGTGGCACTGACTTCATGGTGACAGGGTTCAAATGCAGAAGACATCAGAATTGAGCAGGAGTCCTCAGCATACTTGGCTATAAAGAGAAAAACAGCATGTTTGATCTGAATCAACCAAAAAATCTAGAAGAACCACAGCAAGAACTTTGTTTTTATTTTCTAAAAAAAAAAAAATAAAAACCAAGCCCACACAGAATAATAAAATAGGAACAAGTAGCCATAGATAGTATCTTAGCTCATAGGTCATGAGCTCCACTAAAAGAATAATGTTTCACTAGTAAAACAAATTAAGGGAAAGCAATGCTTTTATATTCTGTTACCGTTATTTCTAGTGCTGTACTTCCTTTTACAGAGCCCCCACTTTCTGCTGCTTTTTATATTTACAGAATTACACCTTCTAGACTGCACTGCACTCATGAATCACTAGTGCCTGCTCTGATCTACAGCCATGATATTTTCTGTGTGCTTGCTCCTCCCAAATCAGAGGTTACTGTAACACCTGGGACAAGAAAATTCTCCTTGTGTCCATCGAAGACAGCCAAGCAGCATGAAGGGGAAGTGGAAGGCTGGCTGTTGGAATGCAGTACAAGGAGGGAGACAAGGGATCAGGTGTAAGGCATAAGGACAGAGGGCTGAAGAAGACAGGTGTTATGTCCACCCAGAGGATAAACACAGAATTGATATCAATTGTAAGAGTACTTTCAGTGGCGTAAGTTTGCGCTGTGTCTGTGATGGTCTAACTCTGACTGCAGTCCAAACTGAACAGCAGCATGATCCCAGGTTACTGATTTTTGTTTTCAGTTTTCACAAAACTTTAGATTTTCTTTAGGAAACCTGCATCAATCAGTGTCTCTCTTGTGGTGTTTTTGATTGGGGTTTTTTGTTGGGGTTTTTTGATTGTTTGTTTGTTTGTTTTTAACAGAGATTACAGTTACTCTGCTGGCAACGTAAGGAACACTAACTTCTCTTATTTTTTGGGGTTGTTTTTTTTTGTGTGTGTCTGTTTTTGTTATGTAAAATGGAAGATCACAGTTTGCTGCACATTTACTTTTGGATGGAGTTCAGTACCTAAACGAGGGTTGAGATTGCAGGGATGACTGTCTTGTTTTAACAAGTCTTGGCAGTCTGCATTGAGCTTCCAGGAGTTTCCAAAATCTTCCAGAAGAGCTTCCACCATGCCAGAAGGAGTAAGAAAGTCGTCCCCTTGGTTACCATTGTAATTTCCACATAGCCCGCACATCCTTTCAGAATAGACTGCAGAAAGCTGAGGAAAACAGTATTAGCCTGGTCATCCTTGAGAATAGGTCACCACTGTATAGCAAGATTTTCTATAGAATGAACCATACACAACAATCAAGAAAATTCTCAAATACAAAGTAAAACATGACAGGCACAATTTCATTGTACTACATTTTTAAACTTCTAACAAAAATGCTACTATTATTAGCAGCAGGACAATTTCTGCATGCTACGCTATGGTGACAATTTCAGATGGAAGCTGAAGGTGACTAGGAGAAAAAAGCTTAGTTTTGTGCCCTTTTTCAGCACTCCAGTTTAGTCTTTCCCCATTTTTCCCCTTCTTTCATATAAATGAGCAGGGCAACAGTGGGGGTTGCATTTTTTAACATAGTGAGATAATTATATTTCCAATGGTAATTTGGGAAAAGATACGGCACCTGAAACCATTTCATAGAATCATAGAATGGTTTGGGTTGGAAGGGACCTTAAAGATCATCCAGTTCCACCCCCCCTGCCATGGGCAGGGACACCTTCCACTAGACCAGGTTGCTCAAAGCCACATCCAGCCTGGCCTTGAAGACATCCAGGGATGGGGATTTCATATTTTACAAGAATGTTTGGAGATGAAAAAATTTAAACAGATTGTTTTGTAACAAAACAGAGACAGTGTTGGTGAACTTGTTTCCCTAAACATTAAGGGCCATTAATAAAATAAGAAAGAGACTACTAACCCTAAAGTTACATTACCTCATATTAGAGCTTTCTCCTGCCTAGGGAAACTTATGATGCACTAAAAGCAGCATGGCAAACAACCCACATGGCAGATGTTTTGCAGTAAGAATAAGGCAGGGTGAAAAGTACAAGGGACATCTGAAATGGGACCCTAAACATGAGGGAGGTCTCCTAAACAACATCTGCAACACCAATATCTATTATTCCAGTAGGAACTCTCAGTTTCTGTTAAAGATCTGGTACATCACAAATACTACAAACTGTCTTTGTGGGTTGACAGAGTGCTCTAATGCTAGAGCAGCTCTGTATGCATTAACCAGAGTGTCACTGTCAGTCAGATTGGCAGGAGTAGTAAGTGAAACAAAACCAAAAAAAGCTGGAACACATTTTTGTGGAAAAAAAAAACATGTTTCTGTATAACTAAAAATAAAACTAAAAACATTCTCCAAAATATAACCTTGTACTACCCTCCCTTTGAACACAGTGGTCAGAAAGTAAATATGGAGTATCTAAAGGAACAATCATGATTTATCAGAGGATATGTAGCCTTATTACTCTGACAGGCAAGGATGCTACTTTTTCACATACTCTGCAGACAGACAATGACTCATAAAAATCCAAATTCTAAAGTATTTTTGAAGCATCAGTACTTAACTGGAAGTCCAAATCCCAAACATCAAGTGGTCACAGAAAGGGGAGCCTTCTTGAGGAACATAGAAAGAATTTTTACCAGAAGTCTGGCCAGGGTAATGGAAGTGTATCACTTCCCCCAATTGTCAGAAATACTTGGCAACAGGTCAGTCTACAAATCCAGGATAAATTAACTCTCCAAAAGCACTTAAAAAGATGCTTTAGATACCCAGCGAGGGAAGGACCTCAGAGCAGAACTGGATAAATGCAGACGATCGGAGGAACTTCCACTGCTTTTATGGGTGAAGGATGTAGAGCAGAAAATTAGATTTGTTTTAACTGTAAGAAAGAATTTGCTAGGCTGTAGAGGTCTCTGACCAGGCAGAAAAATACTTTGAATACAAAGGAAAGCCAAAACTTCTGAGATGTGCCAAGGAGTGGAACTGAATTATTCCCAGCCCAAGAAAAATCTTCTTGGACTCTTGGAGCACAGAGATACAGGCTAGATCAAAACAACAACAGCAATACCACAGGTGCTTTCCAAAGTTATTCTTGACCTTTCTTCTTTGTTGTCTTTCAACTCTTGTACTCACTTCTGACCTAGCTTTCATGAACCCATACACTTTGCCAGATGTGAGATTTTTGGCCAGAATTTGGGGCAGGTGAGGAATGTGCAAAAGCCCTGCCATGGTTCAGAGATGACAGTACTCACTGCTCAGTAGAAACAGCAATGCCAAGAAAACCATCTCTCTTGGCAAAACTCTTGTCGGTGAGCAAACACGTCCCACGCTACTGCAGGTGGGGCTGAAAGGCAGCAGGGCTGTGGTTAAGCACCTGTCCCTGCAAACACAGCAGTAGTACACAGGGCTGCTGTCGCCAAGCATCAGGCAGGAGCACATCGCCTTGACTTAGCACCCACAGCCTGCACATCATCACTCCAGCAAGCAACACTACAGGCAGACTCACACCCCCGAGGGAGCGAATACATCCTTAGGGACAACACTCACAGTCCCTAAGACCTACCGATCCAATGAGAACAGCCTCTTGTACGAGCAAAGAGAGCAATAGATAGTTTAGTCAGAGAAGCTGTGATGGGTATCAGCTATCAGGAGACTATTCCACAGCAAATAATCTTCTCCCTTTTCCTCACTGGCTTTTCTGTGCTCTAATTCATTCTGCAGCTTACAATGCACACACCAAGGAAAAAAAAAAGGTATTTTATGTAGAGCTTTCTGTTGTTGCAGCTAGACTGCTTCCTGTAGAGCTCATTTCTTTTAAACCTGTTTTGGGTATTCTTACACTCCACTGTGGTCTGCAGCACAGACAAACCCTAATTGTTAATCAAGGGTGACTTTAAACATTCCTCATAGTAGAGGGAGTATGCAAGATATCTTGTATGAGTTAATTGATTTTTCCTAGAAATTATGAGTAACTGTGTCCCAGAGGCATATTCTTCCCTTAAGTCATACAAATCCATTGCTTTAGATAGGACAGTCAAAGCAAATGAAAGCAAAAATACAGTTTGGAGGCTATCTGCTGAACAAAACACAAAATTATTCATGGTTACTAATGGCTGTCATTGCACAAAAAAAGACAGGAGGGAGAAAAAAAAAAAAAAGAAAAAGCTACCAAGCTGCTGTAGGATGAAAACGTTTGTTTCTGGAACACAAAAGGACCTGTATATCACTCTGGGCATGGCAAAAGAGAATGGAATTTCTAACATGCAACACAAAACAATTTCTCACTTCAGACAAGAATATCTTTGTACATGTTTGGGTGGGACAAGAGAAGGGGCAACAAAGCAGAAATAAAACAGGTAGAAAGGAGTACCTTCACTAGGAGTTCACCGTGACCATCCCAGTCAATCTGCAAATCTTCCCCATAGGTAAGGCGAACGGAAGTCCCCACGGTGCGCTGGATACGAAGGGCACCTTAAGGCAACCACAAACTGTCAGTCAAGCCAGGATGCAGTGTTTCATTGCCTGGGACTGCTGTGTCATGCCGAAAAAGCCAGCAGAGTTGGTGCCACAGAGCAGAGGACACGCAGGTCTGCCAAAGCAAGGGGTGCCAGCAATGCCCACTTCACACTTCCCGAGTTTTGTGCCTGCTCAGCAGTTGACATCTGCATGAACTGACCCATAGGCTCTGTTTTAAGGTACTTAGGAGCCCTAGAAGGGGATATATGTGCATTCTGCAAAAACTCAGGCATTAACTGTGATACTTTGCAAGGTAACGAGGGATTTTGAGCCTCTGGATGAAAAATAATAATAATCTTAAAAAGCATAGACCAGCAGTTGTTTTCAAGATCACATCTCACATATCCAGACCAGCTTAATTCTCCTGAGTTCAGAGGAGCTAAGCCAAGATGTGTCAGCTGCATGGAGGGGAGCTGGAATGACAGAGCTTCTAGAAGAGTCTGCAAGTGAGAATTTGGAATTGAAAACATTTTTTGCTTGAACTGGGCTAAGGCATGACAGAAAACACTAGTAAGTAGGACTCCTTCAGTGGCTGGCCAGAGTTAGACCGTGCAAACACACCTTGTAGCAAAGGGATCCGTATGTCTTGTCCATTCAGTGAAACTCCTCCTCCGTGTTTCATTTTAATGAGGCTGTTGTCCATATCCCGGATCCGGACAGAAGCCGAGCGCGTGCACACAGCATCAGGATCATCTGCACACTACAGAGAAGCAACATTTTGCCTTGAACCTCAAGCTTTCACTTGATTGGTGACTTAGACCCAGGCCTCCAAAAGGCATTTCAACATCTAATTCAGGAGGTTTTATGGATCTAACTTCTGCATCCTACAAACACCAGGCTGGTAGCCTTTCTTCCATCATCCTGTTAACCATGCACCAGGAAGCTACCCACAGCTCCTGTCTCAGAGCCTGGAAAGCAATCGGTTTGCTTTACACCGGACACCTGCCCGTGCTGGTTCCCAGCATCCAGCCCCTCCGGCTGTGGCAGGGGCAGGAAGAGCACACCGCCCCACATGGCCCCTCTGACTGGGAAACAGCTGTGTGGGTCACACTGCCTAAGGCTCTTGTGCTGTTTATTTTCCCCAGCAGCAGGTTACACAGATGAGGAACAGGGATTGCAGGCCCCTGGCTCTTCTCCCGGATTTTGAAAGGGAAGTTTCAGTGGAAACCTGTTCTGCAAGTTCCCAAGCACAGATGACCTCAGAGCTGCATTATCAGAGCTTTCTAAGGAAGGATACAGACGTAGATGGTGTGACTGTCACACCCATTTCTCTAAAGCCTGTGACTTCTCTGTTACTCTATCCTGCAAGGCAAGGTGATGTTACCCTTCAGTCCTGTCAGTCTCCTGACTCCATCGTACCTCTCCCTGCCTTGAGTTCTTCTGCCCCAGTCCCCTTTCTTTACCTCTGCTTAATTCAGTACCCTTTTCAGTCTCCAGGTTAGTCTATTCCCATGTGCAACTGGTTGATTAATTTAACGACCGTGTTATCATCCCTGTGACACCCCCTCTAGGGTCTCCTTCTCTCCCCACACTGGCCTGGCTCCCTTTCCTGCCTCTCTCCAGCCACCTCACTGACCTCCAGCTGCCTTTCTCACATCCCTCAGGGGAGTGGTGAAGAAACTCAGGAGCTGCTGACCGGCTAGTGAGCAACAGAAATCACCTGCCAACATGAGCTAACAGAAGGCAACCCAAGGTACCACTCTGCCAGCACACCCTACGTGATTTCTGAGAAAACGTCTTTTCCCCAGGAATTAGGGAGGCCCTGGCCTTCAGACTGCTTTGCAAGGGGTCCACCTGCACCTCCAACTGTTTGGTCAGCTGGCAAAGAGGCATGAGGGCTTGTTCCCCAAATCTCCTTACGAATCTCAGTCCTCAGGTAGGCTCCTGGGAATGGCAGCAAGGAGAAGCAAAACACTTATTAACTAAGGAGAAAGACTGCATCTGTTATTTAAACTAATTATTTCACAGGAAAATTACTTCTGTTGGCCGGTGCATCTGCAATTCATATCATACTCCCACAGCCCTTCCCACTCTCTCAAGAGCCTGTGCAGAGGCACCCGCCAAGGCTGCTGTTACCTGCACAGTCTCGATGATCACAGAAAAGGAATTTTCCACGCAGTCCTTGGCAAATAAGTATTGACAAATCCCACTGAAGGTAAAATACTTGTTGTCGAAGCTTTTGAAATGGGACTGGCCGGTGACAGAGCATTCTCCTGAAAAATGCAGAGTGCCATTAATCACCCCAAAGCCAGCTGCGAGCAAAATCCTCCCTACCCACCCATCCCCCACCCCCCAAGGCACTGAGGAGGAAGAGTAGCCCAATGGCGCAGGTTGCACAAGGTCTAAGTTCCCTGCAGACCAGAAAGCACCGGCAAGATGCTTATCTCACTGTTTATTCCTGTAAGTCATTACCAGTAGCAACAGAGGCACTAACAAAGGCTGCAGAGTATGGTATAAATCGCACTCAAGAGCTGAAATTCATGGCTATAAAGCCGATATAATGTTTCAAACAGAGGGTCATGAGGACATCAGCAAACAGCTCGGCTCTGCACTGAAGTGGATTTGTTTCTTCTGTTGTGTACACGGCAGTGGCTCTGGACACTCAGCACAGTCACCCAAGCTCTCCTCAGGCTAGGTCACACCTAGCACCTAAGTGACGGCTGCTGGTGGCACTAAACAATTGCAAATAGCAACCCACACTCCCTTTTATGGAGGAACTAAGTTTCCCTCTTTATGCAATGGGGAAACTGAGGCACAGAGAGTAGAAGTACTAAGGCCTAAGACTGGCAGAGCTAGAAAAGGTGCTCAGGTTTACCCAGCATCAGTCATACACCCCATACTCCGGGCAACGTTGCCTCTTTACCCCTATGCATGAGCTTGCAACATCTTGACATAACACACTTTAAATCCATTTTTACTTAGCCCAGTAGGGCACATCCATACCCATGAAGCTGGTTGCAGAATGCAGGCATTTTTACAGAGTTGGAAATCAAACTTTGCAACAAGACTTGTTGGACTCTCACTGCTACCCTGCTTTTCTTCTGCAGAGGTGTCTCATTCCCAGGCTGTGTTTCACAGATGCATCTTGGCAGATTGTGAGCCCTCTCTTTGTCTCTCTACTGGTGTTTTTAGAGCATCGCAGTATGGTTTTATGAAGGCAACAGTGTCTGAAAGCCTTTTTCACAATGGTCCCCTTGAACATGGCCTATAAAAAGTGTTTATTCCTTTGTTGGGTCACCTTAAATACCAGTAAGTTCTTAAAGTAAAAATAACGTATCAGAACCCCTCTATTCTGCACTGGTGAGGCCTCACCTGGAGTGCTGTGTCCAGTTCTGGGCTCCTCAGCTCCAGAAGGACAAGGAGCTACTGGAGAGGGTCCAGCACAGGGCCACTGAGATGACGAAGGGCCTGAGGCACCTTCCATGTGAGGAAAGGCTGGGAGAGCTGGGTCTGTTCAGCTGGAGAAGAGGAGGCTGAGGGGGATCTTATCAATGCTTATCCATATCTAAAGGGGGGTGTCAGGAGGATGGGGCCAGGCTCTTCTCAGTGGTGTCCAGTGTCAGGACTGGGGACAACGGCCTTAAACTGGGAAACAGAAGTTTCAAACTGGACATGAGTAAACCCTTCTTCCCTGTGAGGGTGACAGCACTAGAATAGGCTATCCAGGGACGGGGTGGAGTCTCCTTCCCTGGAGACTTTCCAAAGCCACCTGGACCTGTTACAGTGTGATCTACTCTAGGGATGCCATCCAGAGGGACCTG